TAAAATAAAAGGTCTTATAACTAAGAGAATTATTGCCATCCTTCATGGTAACTGAATTCTATTATGCTTTTATTTTTAAAGGAATATAGTGGGCCATGAATAGAAAAGGGAAATGGTCAAATTATTATTCACACCTTCATGACTTTAATAAACTCATATGAGAACCATTTATTTATATATATATATACATATATACACACATACATGTGTGTATGTGTATATGAGTATGTATATACATACACACCCCACCTAAAGATAACTGGTTCCACAAAATATGAAATTAGGTAAAAAAATATTATAAGGGAACCACCACTTAGTTCTACAGAATCAATGCTCTAAATGTAAGATATAGTCCTTGGCTGCCAGAATTCAAACTATAAATGCTTAAATATTCTTAGATCTCATTTGATATTTGGCTCAAGATAATGGATATAAAGCACTTTACAAACTTTAAGGTATTATATAAAATGTCAGTTAATTGGAAAGCATCAGAGAGTAGACAGAGAGAGCCCAAGACTCAGAGTCAGGAAAACCCAAGTTGTCCTACTAACTCTCTGACTTGGTAAATCATTTAGCCTCTCTGACTTTGGATTCCTCATCTATAAAAATAGCACCTACTTCATGGAGTTGTTGTGAGGATCAAATGAAAATGTGTATGAAAATGTATGTAAACCACTTTGCCAACATTAAAGAGCTATATGTAAACTTTTTTAAAATCTTATAATGATGATATCAATGTTTTGCTTCTAAGCAGTCTGTGTCTTATGGTTACAGCCTGCACATTCATACTACCTCTAACTGAACCCGTAAGCACAACTCCAAGTAGCCCTACTCTTCTCCAAGTTTACTCCAATTTAGTTCATCCATGCCCCAGCCCATTCTAGTGTACCCGTTTGAACCCCTATTCACTTTTTTTTTTTCAGGCAATTGGGGTTAAGTGACTTGCTCAGGGTCACACAGCTAGTAAGTGCCAAGAGTTTGGTTCAAGGCTGGATTTGAACTCAGGTCCTCCTAACTTCAGGGCTGGTGCTCTACCCACTGTGCCATGTAACTGTCCCAACCACTATTCACTTCTTAAACTCTGCTACATTAAATTTTTCAACCAATAATCCTTTCACCTCTTCTCTTTTCATTGAAACCTGGCTTTCCCTTGTACTCCAAGGTCCTGTATTTTCAAATTCTAACCACCAACCATAGTCTCCTATCCTTCCAACTCTCCCATTCCCTCACACTAAACCTGATTTCAACCTCCATGATAGTGTATTGTCTTCAAACATTATTCTGCCATTCTACCTCTCTTCCACTGCCTTTACTTATCTCCACATCCAGCTTTAAGTATACAATTCACTACCATAAATATTTCACTAACTCAACACTCCAAATTCCCTCATACTTGTTATTTCAGATATATTCATTTTTTATTCCTGGATAGATCTGATGATCTGATTTATCCAATGAACTCTGATGGGAAAAAAATTCATGAAATAAAAATCTACAATAAACTTATTATATGTAACTTGAGTTAAGTCATCACTGGTGGTCAACAAATTTTCAATTCTTACATCTTATTTCTTGCAACAACTGTTCCAAATTGTTTCTTCTTATGCTTCAACCACAGTTCTGAACCTCACAGCAGATGACAGCCTTCTACTTTACTAAGAGTGAGACCACCTGAAGAGAATTCCCTCAATTTCTATCCTCAAGACTCCTCAAAATTTTTCAGCACTATCATCTATTCTCTCTTCTTTACCTCTTGTCACAAAGGAAAAGGTATTCCTATTCATCATTAAGGCTAATCCGTCTGCCTGAGCATATACTGCTGCCTATCTTTTCCAAGACTTTGTACTAGCAATTATCCTTTTTCTTTCACATATCTTTAATCTCTCCCTCTCGACTAGCTTCTTCCCATCTGTCTACACACAGGTTCCCCAATATTAAAAAAAAACAACAACCCAAAGCATCCCCTTATTCCATATATGACATCTGATTAGCATCCCAACCCCTCTCTTTCTCTTTACTGTTAAACTTCTTGAATTATCCAAGTTCCCACTTCCCCAACCACTTTCCTTTATGCCCTTGCAATCTGGCTTCCTCTCCCCATGTCTTCCTGAAACTGCACTCTCAAGGGTAAACAATAAACTTTTAAGCACCAGAACTAAGCACTTTCTTTAGTCCTCATTCTCTTTCACCTCTTTGCAGCATGTAGACACCCCTGGGTTTCAGAGACACTTTCTTGAATCTCTTGTCTAAATACTCCTTGTCTTCCAGGCTTTTAAAAGTCAGTAATCTGTTCTTATGTAATACTTCCTCTTGTTAGAGGCAGTGCTATGTAATGGGGAAGAGTGCTGCATATGGAATCAGGATACCTGGGTTCAGATCCTTTCTAACATTATTATTAGCTCTGTGGCCATGACCAAGTCACTCAACCTCTCTGAGCCTCAGTTTACCTATCTGTAAAATGAGAACATCAGCCAGAGCACCTACTTCACAGGGTTGTTTGGAAGTTCAAAAGAGAACATGTTTGTACAGTGCTACATAAATAAATATCAGTCAACAAGCATTTACTGAGCGCTCAGCATGTGCTTTTATTATTTTTATTATTATTTTTTTTTATTATTATTAGTGTCAATCTTATTCTCACTGCTTCAACTATCATTTTTAAGCAGATGATTTCTAAATCTACCAGCCCCTTTCTTTCTTCTGAGCTCCTAACCTGCGTTTTTCTACAGAGTATCTCTCTGTATTGGATGTCCTAATTTTTTTTTTTTGTTCGAGGCAATAGGGGTTAAATGACTTGCCCAGGGTCATGCAGCCAGTAAGTGTCAAGTGTCTGAGGCCACATTTGAACTGAAGTTCTCCTGACTCCAGGGCGGGTACTCTATTCACTGTGCCACCTAGCTGCTCCTCCTAACACTTTAAATATAACATGTCCTACAAGGTTCACTTCAGTTCTAAAATTCTGTGCCCCATACTGAGTTTATTTTATTGTAAACCTGTTTCCCACCACCCCCTACCACGATATTACTATTTCTGTTAATGGTACTCCCATTCCCAGCAGTACCACCCAGTATTCTTTGTTTGAAATGTCAAAACGTTAGCGTTCCTCCAATTCTTCCACGCAAAATTAATAAGGCCTGTTGGTTACATCTCCACATCTCCTCTCTACTCCCACTGCCTCAACCTTAGCACAGGCTGTTATCACCATCTGCTGGACCTATAACAGTAGTCTTCCTGGTCCCACTTCTTCCTAATACAATCCATCCTTCAACCTGATTCTGATTCATCCTTCATCCTTCATGCTGATGCTCCTTATATCAGTGGTTCCCTACTTCAAACTCCTTTACCTAGCATTCAAACACTCTACAATCTGGTACTCTACTTCTTTTTTTGTCACACATTCTCTACAATTTAGCCAAACGGGAAGATTCACTATATGTCCTATGCATTCCTGCCTACTCGTGTCTTTGCTCATGCTGGTACTTACAACTATAATATACTCTCTCTGCCTCTTTGACAAATGAGCAACTAACTATACATCCTTTAAAACTCAACTCAAAAGAGATCTCTGGCATAATCTGAAATTACCTTTCCCCACCTCAACAGCATTGTTCTGCACCTCTTGAATGTATTTATGTTATCCTGTATATTATCTATGTTTTATATCCATCTATTAGATTGTAGAGCATATAGGTGGCACAATGGATAGAGTACTGGGCTTGGAATCAAGAAGACTCATCTTTCTGAGTTCAAACCTGGTTTCAGACACTTACTAGCTGTGTGACCCTGGGCAAGTCACTTAACTCTGTTTGCCTCAGTTTCCTCATCTGTAAAATGAGCTGGAGAAGGAATTGGCAAACCATTCCAGAAACTTTGCCAAGAAAACCCCAAATGGGGTCACAAAGAGTCAGACACAACTGAAATGACACAACAAAAACAAACAGACTACAAGCTCCAAAAGGGCAGGGACTAGTATCCTACTTAAATTTTCTATATCCCACATGATCTAGCATAATGCTCTATTCACAGGAAGTACTTAACATATATTTGTCGAACTCCAAGCCCATGTAGGCCCCTTTATGTTTGTGGCAGGCCAGTATGTTTATCTCACTGTAATTAGTACCCTTCTCTAGCAGCTTATCACAAAACCTAAAGAAAATAAGACACAAACAAGTATTCTTCCATTCACTGTTCCACCCTACCACCTACAAATGTGTTATGTATATGGATGGATAGGGATAGAAGCTAATCATCATTTTGCTTGTATTTACAGGAGAACAGGAAGCACAAACTGACTGAGTTTAGTTTAATGTTTTATTGTATTATGTATTTATTGTATTTTGCATTGAATAAAATAAAATATTATTCTAGAAATATTTTCTAGCAATCTACCTTGAAACTAACATTATATTCAATCCAAAATAGATTACAAAAGACTTTTACAATCCTATTGTTAGACATATATGTGTATGTGTGTGTGTGTGTGTGTGTGTGTGTGTGTGTGTGTGTGTATGTATATATATATATTTATTTATTTATTTAGAGCTGAGGCAAGCTACATAAGAGCCTTCAGGAAGGTTTGAAAATTACTCTTCATATATGTTACTACCTACTGGAGATCGAATCCTAATTGTAGGACATTAAACTTAGGTTATCAGAAAATAAATACTTACCTGCCAGAGTGTAATTTGTTAGCACTAAAAAGATACACATGTTTAAAAGTAATATTAAAATTTAACTCCCACTTAGCCATCCTTGATGTTGTACCTTAGGTACCTATCTTGTCTATTCCTAGCCCCAGCTCTGAACCTCATCCATAGACATCTTTAAAAAGTAACCTTTATCTAACTGTCCTTGAAAATTAAAAATGGGCCTCAAACCAAACACTTGACACTTACTAGCTGTGTGACCCTGGGCAAGTCACTTAACCCCAACTGCCAAAAAAAAAAATAAAGAAAATTAAAAATGAACCTTTCTTTTTTTTAAGTAAACCTTGCACCTACCTTGGTGTTGTACTTGACTATCTGAACTGTGTATCTTAGTACCTTTCTTCCTTACTGATGGAGTACAACAGGCCTTCTGGGTTGATGACAGGGTAGAAGCAAACGAACTTTGAAAATCATCTGAACAAAAGGTATCACTATATCGTTCTTGTTCTGAGTATCCGTCTTGATTGAAATCTGTGCTTCTTGTTCTTTCTTCCATTGTTTTGACATATAGTCTTGTATTCACATAATTTCACGGGTCCTTTTCTCCAGAAGTATCCCTGATAATAGGGAAGGACATTTTAATAGTCTTCTTATTCTGGTGAAGATACTGTATTTTTTGTAATTCCTATTTTTCTCATATTCAAATGATCCAAGTTTCATATTAGTAATCAATAATATTACTTAATAATACTTTCTTTTGTAGTTATGAAAGTTTTTTCTATAGAAAAACCATAGTTTTCCCTATAATAAAAAAGTTTTATGACAATAACAGAATAGTCTTAAAATAGTCTACTTTTAGGTTTCATAAAGCTAATGCCAGTGAAGTGCTTTAAAAGAAAAACACAACCATATTCTGCTTTACATTTTTTTAAAAATGGAGAAAATAGGGCATATTTCATAATCTGAACTAAATTTTCATATATAATGATTTACAATACTAGGGGAAAGAACAAAGTACATCGTCACTTCCTGTCAGTCCATGCTACTTTGACTTTGCACTCTGCAAAAAATCCGAATTCTCAATTACAGATAGTTCTCATTTCATATAAATTCACATTACGCAAATTCAACTTTGCATAAAGAATTCTGAAAGAAATCCTAATGAGAATATGATTGAACTGCTAGCTGCAAAGACTGTAGAAGAAAGGGAAGCTTCAGAACCCAAGGCTGAACCTAAAAGGTTCACAATGAAACAATTGGTAGAAGCATTTCATCATTTGAGTTAATTTTTTCCTTGTATTGAAAAGATGGATCCAAATACTTAAAAATTTTTTAAAGTTAAAAGACGAGTGAGGATAATTTTTCTTGCTACTGTTGGATACACAAGGAAAAAGAGAGCCACTGTCTAAACATTTCTTGATAGTTTCATTAAAAAAAGTTGCCCAGCCAATCAACCGTGATAAAGGCCAGGTGCAGTGGGGTGGGGAAGGGATAACATACTGCACACCTATGTTAACTTTACTGTACAGCAGTTTACATACTTTAACATTAACTTTACCTTTCACTTCATAAACCTGTTTATTATCATGGTACAGTATTTAATATGTCCGCATTTTAGTCTATTTTACAACTTATGTAAAGCCTTTATGTGGTGTATGCCTTTGTTATAAAAGCTAAGTTGAGTGGGTGGGTAGGGGCAAATTTTGCATTGTGTAAAAACTGCTTTAGGTAGAGGTCTGCAGAATAGTCCATTTATGTAAAGAGATAACTGTCTGTATATTAGGATATTAAACATGTTCAGTGAATTTTAGCATAATGAGAGGCTCCGTAACAGACTGCCAAGAGAATAATGTAATTATAAACAATCAAAATAGAACACAAATATATTGTGTAAAAAGGTATGTACAATAAAAATTCTCTATATCTCTGGGAATATAAGAATAGAGTACATGAGAAATGTACTACCTTAGATTTTTATTGGTGAAAATGCTGTAATATATAAAACAATTGAAGTTACATCTACATACTATTTAAATGCTATCAACAGCAATAAAACCTCATTCATGGTTCATTTCTACATGGAAACATCTTTGACTCTAGTAAATTCCACAAATATAAAGCAAATTGACAGACTCAGTCACGGACAGTTGTACATAGATACTAAGTTTTCTTTAGTCTGGATGTGTGTGTGCCCGTGTGTGTATGTGTGTTTTGTTGTTTGTCCAGACCTTTGATTTCATTGGCATAGTGAATTCCTGGTGAGGAAATTTCCTCTACCAATACAGATCATTGACTATTCTGAAAATCTTAAAAGACTAAGGATGTTAACATAAAAAAAAGCATCTATGGATTTTATGTACGTACACATAGAAAGAAAAAGCAACTGTGAAAAAGCAACAACTTGTTTTTAAAGAGTTTTAATAATAATAACCAACTACTTGTACTACAGCATATGTAAGAAACTGGAAAAATTCTCAAATATATTTTGAATATATACTGGGATATATATTGAAATGGCTATCTCTTGCCAAAGACTTTTAGGATGAGTTTTAAAAACTGATAATCCATGATTAGATGCTTAATTTTATCTGAATATACAGGAAGCAGTAGTTTCCTATTATTTGTTCTAACAGGGTCCAGGCTGAACTCTAAAGCAGAAAATAGCTATTATAAATCTTTTGCATGGTATACTACAAGTGTCATGTAAATATAAAATCTTTTTAAATAATTTTGAAAATTATACTGAGCACTTTTACACAAGAAATAACTGGTCAAAAACTCATGCAATAGTAAATTCAACGACTGCCTTTTGAAATTTGGGTACCTTGTTTCATTTTTTTCCCTATCTCCTCTGCAAAGATAACTCACATTAATTTTATGACACATAACTTTCCTTACAAACAAAATCCACAGGGAAAAATGAAAACATGATATTTTCTTATATTTGGTGACAATTATGAGTACTTAAAAAACTAGTATTTTCAACCTAGTTCTACAATTGTGATCTCATATTAAGTCAACTGAAAATACCTATTAAGATAGATTCTTGTCTCTTTGGAAAGATATATCCAACTTAAATCCTTAATGTGAAAATCTTTATTTTAAAAATCTATGCCATCATTAGAATGTACTGATCAGACCACTCTACAAATTCTCTTCAAGAGTTACTGTGACCAAAGAATTTATCTGGTGATGAGATTTTCCAAATTAGCTATGCTGCTCCTAGGATCAACAGCTACTCAGCCTTCCACTGGGCCTATAATCAAAACCTATTTAAATTAGTAGAAAATGCCAGAGCTTATACCCAACTAGTACAACCCTCAAAGACTTTCACATCAAGATGGAATGCAACATTAGAGAAGAGAAATTTGCACATAATTAAAATATTTATTTTTAAAATATTAGTCTCTGGTTTAGAAAATACAAATAGACACTAAAAGTTATTCTCTAAAAATCTATTTTTCAATTTTAAGAGGCAATAATATTCAAATGAATTGACAAGGGCTTTTGGAGCCTCTCTTAAATCCCAAAAGAAAAAAGTTATCTTTCTCCTGTAGTCTATACAGAAACTTACTTAAAAGGATTTTTTTCATGTTGGTTTAAAAGGGGTTCACTACCTTTTTTGTGTCATGTATGCCTTTGGCAGTCTCAAGATTATGGACCCCTTAGAATGTTTTAATGTTTTTTAAATTCATAAAATTAAATGTTAAGGGATTACAAAGTAAACCAATTATATTGAAATACAATTATGAAAACATTAAAAAAATTAACTGGGAACTCCTGTTTTGAAACAATTCAAGACATTATAGCACTTCCATTATGTCTGGGTAGATCATCCTTGGTTGTCATTCTTGGTTATCTTTTTTTCCCTTTTATATCATTCTTTTACTCTCCAATTTGATTGTCTTTTTCTCTCTTTTAATTTAATCCTAACCCATTTTAAAGGTCTGCAAATAGTACATAAATGAAGTGCAGCACATGACAAAAGATGTCGCTGACCCTTCCATAAGGTTTTTTTTAACTACAATAATTTCTTTTTTTATTAAACTAGTCACAGTAAGTTTAGTCACTGGCAAATGAAATAGCAAAACCAAATTATTTCTTTTTTATGATCTTTAAGCAACATTTAAAAAATTAATGTTGAAGTTAAAAAAAATTAACTAATTGTTTGGTAATGTGATCCAAATGCCAATATCCTAAATGCACAAGTAAGACATGCTAAAACAAAAGGTTCACACTGGTCTGGGAGGTTGGGATACAGCAAATGAAATTTTGGAATATAATCTGTCTGTAGTTTGATCACCATCCATAAAGTAGAACCCCTCTATAACACTAGTGTTAAGAGATAGCTTACCATCATAACGCTAGTGTTAAGAGACAGGACTACTATCATTTCATATCTGGCTTTAATTACAGACTGCTGTTTTAAGGGATATGAGCTGACCTATGTCAGCGAAGGCAACTTTTTAGGAACATAATCTTATAATCAAGACAACTTCTTAATTAGTTAAGCAACTGTTCCTTAAAAATACAGAATCACTGACACTAATAGGGTTTAATTTCTGATCTCCCCCTACTTTATGGTTCAGATACCTCAGAAATAGACAACTAAACACTTCATATAAACATTCTGTGTAATACTGAGCTGTCAGAATTCTACTGTTCTTTTATATTTGACTTCATAGAGGAAAATTTTCCGGGTTGGCATATCACTAGTAACGGAGGATATGAAGATAATTCGTTGTTTTAAAGTTGCTACCTAATATTCTACACTTGAATAAATACTTTATTAAAGAATCCAAATATAAACTAATGATTTACATAAATGGTAGTGTAAAAACACTGATGAACAACACAAAGAAATCCTAACATGAAATCTGCCTAGCACTAAACAACAGAATATTAGAAAATAACTGATGGCCACTCATATTAAAACAATAATATTGTTTCCTAAATATGTTTTATGCATAAAGGTCTTTTTAATGAAAAGGAGAAAGGAACAAAAAATTTCCCCAATCTTATTCTTATTTCAAGTCTCATTTTTCTCTATAGCTTACATGGAGATAAAAGATACACACACATATACACATAGCTCCATTATCTAATTCTAAGTTAAATATTAGCCTAAACAGATCATTACCAAACAATTAGTTAAAAAAAAATAACTATTCCCTTAAAATATAGAAGTATAATCACTGACCCCAATCAGATTTAATCTGTTCTTAGCCCTCTCACAATTCTTCATGTCAGATATATTACAGATAGTCTGATAATAACATGTACACTCCCTTCCAAAACAATTTCCCCCCAAATACCTACAGCTCATGTATCACATTTAATGTGGAAGGAAGAGCACCAGACTGGAATAAGGAGAAATGGATTGAAATAATGGCCCTGATCCTTATAAGTTGAATCATCTTAGGCAAGTCATTTAACGTCTGTAAGTCTCAGTTTCCTTATCTGTAAGATGGGGGACAATAAAGACACACTATGTAGCTCGTAGGGTGGTTATGAGGAATACACTGTGTAAACTAATGTAAAGCACTGCATTAATATACTAAATATAAAGTAAGAATCATATTCTATCTCCTACACTTATACATGTCATCTCACTACCTGAGAATGCTATTTTTCACTGAACAATTAAAGACAATTAAAATAACCTTGAATCCCATTTTATTATTAAAAAAACCATGCAATTCCCCATGTAAATTTTTTTAACATTTTCTTCTTTATTATGAACTTAATTATGAAAACACAAAGAACAAAAGAGACTATCTAAAATTGTTAGAAGTGTTTGTTTTTTCAAAGCAAATATTAAATTTAACAAAGTAATAACAAAATTACCCTGTTTGTTTCTGTCCCCTTTTGAATTTTTTTATGCGTCTTTTTGTATTTGACCCTGGGCAAGTCATTTAACTCTTATTTGCTTCAGTTTCCCCATCTGTAAAATGAGCTGGAGACGAAAATTGGCAAACCATTCCAGTATCTTTGTCAAGAAAATTCCAGATGGGGTCACAAGGAGAGGACAAGACTGAAAATGACTATACGGAAAACAATTGCCTTTGTTGCTTCTAACTGAAACTCTTCCCCGTCCCTTTGTTACAGCTTAGTCAAATGAAACATTAATATATCGGTGATGTCTGAAGATATTGCATATGCACCTCTAAAGTCTATCACCTCTCTGACAACACCTCATGCAATTTTAAGAACACACTTCCCTTCTTTAAAAGGCCCCCAAAGTGCATGTACTTTCTTGTATGCTATGATATATCACTAAACCCAGACTGGATGAAATTTTCTAAATCAGACTGTCAGTCCCCATTATATACTTATTAATATAGCTAGATCTAGCAAAGTCAGAATCACAGAATCTAATAATTGGAAGCGATCTCAGAGATCATCTAGTCCAACCTTTTATATAAAGTGAAATCCTATCTACATCCCAAACAACTAGTTAAGCACCTTAAGCAATGGAGAATCCAGGATTGCTTGAAGCTGTCCATTTTACTTTTGGATAGCTCTAATTGTTATTGACCCAGGAGCTAATTCCCTATCACATTCACCTATTGTTCCTGGCTCTACCCCCAGCTCCAAACATAGTAAGTCCTACTCTTCTATAGGATAAGCTTTCAAATATCCTAAGTCATCACCATTCCAGCCTAAACATGAAGTTTTATTATTCAGTTCCTTATACTAGTTGCTACCCTCTGTCAATGTCTCTTCTGAAAAGTGATACTAGCTTGTTGTTGTCCTCTCAGGGAGTGGTACCTAGAACTGTACATAATATTCCAAATGCAGGTTGGCTCACATTTGGAAGGAAGAAGACAACAATATCATCTCTCTTGCTAGGGATACTTTACCAAACTGTTTTTTTAGCTACCAGATCACTGCTAACTCTTTCCACTCAGAAGCTTAGTTTCAGCTCTCATAACCTCTCACTTGGACTCTTGCAATAGCTTCCTTAACAGCCTCCCTGCCTCCAATCTTTCCCTTCTCCAGTCCATCCTTTACAAAGATGTTAAACCAGTATTTCTAAAGTACAGTTCTAACCATGCCACTTCTCTGCCCAATAAGCTTCATGGCACCATAATGCCTCTGGTATAAAAAATAAAACCTCCTCTTTGACACTTAAAATTCTTTAAAATCCATCCCCAAACTTTCATTCCATGCTACTCACATATCACCTTCCCTCACACAGTTTCAGCCAAACTAAACTACTTGCCATTCCCCATATACAATATACTCCATCTGCTGTACCTTTGTACAGTTCCTGTAATGCTTTCCCTCTCCATTCAAAACTTCTGTATTTTTTTTTTATTTATCTCTGTACACACATCCTCTTCCCCTACTTCCTAACAGAATGCAATCTCTTTGAGGCAAGCTAGTTTTCATTTTTCTTTATATACACATGGTCTAACAGTACCTGGAACACAGCAGATATTTGCTTGTTTATTCAACTAAACAAAGCCCTATAATCCATTAAAATCCTAGGTTCTTTCTGAGCTATTTTTGAACCACGTTCCCCATCCCATACTTGTACAACTCATTTTTTGAATACAAGGGCATATTTATATTTATCCCTTTAATTAATGAGACACCATGGGACAGCGGAAAGAGTACTGAGTTTAGAGATGAGCCTACATTCAAATCCCATCTCTACCAATTAAAGGGATCTTTAGTTGTTTCAGTTTTCTGAGTTTCAGTTTCCTTATCTGTAAAATTAGGTGACTGGATTAGATTAATAGTGTCAAACTAAAATAGAAACAGATCCCTGTTAGCAGCACACTGACTTAGAAAATCACAAATTAACACTAGATTGTAGTTATTTATTTTGTTAAGCATTTCCCAGATATTTTAGTCTGATTCAGACTCATTAGGGAGTTTTGCGGGCTGCTTGCACAGAATTTGACACCTCTGGGCTAGATGATCTATAAAGATCTATCTCTCTTCTAGTTTTAAATCTATGATTTCCCCTCTTTGCTAAAATTTTATCTAAGTAACTTTAGACACACTCTAGCCAAGTGAGATCTTTGCAGCTTTCAATAACTTCATCCAATCATTAGCTACTCTCCTAGTTTCAGGAGCATCTACAAGTTTGATTACGTAAGTCCAGGCATCTTCATCTAAGTAAAACATCAAAATATTGATCAGTAGAGCACCAAGGAGGGAGCCCTTTAGATCCATTAATCAATACTCTTTGCTTTCAGTTAATCAACCAGAAAAGAATCTATCTAACCATACTATCATGTAATATTCCTCATCTCTTCACCTTGCCTATAAGGATATCATGAGCTTGCTGAAATTTATGACAATATCTAGTAACTGCTGAAAAAAGAAAATAAAAATTAGTCAAATATAATTTTTAATGAACCAATGCTGGCTCTTCCTTTCCTAAATAGCTCATCAATTCTAGAATTTCCAAAGAATAATAATAATAGCTCATATTAAATAATTTATTACCATTTAAAAGTACTTTCCTCATAACCCTGTGAGACAGACAGAGCAAATAACACCATTTTATAACTTGTTAATAGATGGTCAGAAAAGTTAAATGACCCATATTTTCAGGTATCTTCTTAAGCCCTTTCTTTAAGTATCATTTGTCTCCAGTTCTGTATCATTTCCCCTGTTCTTGACAACTTCTCAAAAAGTAATCTGTTCCCACATCCTCAAGTACTGAGCTTAATTGTAATGTTCCTCTTAAATATCCTATCTCTAAATATTCCTCTTATTGGTCAGAAACAAAACCAAGAATGTAAAAATGTAGGCTCCTAGAGGGCAGAGACTACGGAGACTACAAAGGCTTTGTATCTTAGTACAGTGCTTGGCACATAAAAGGTACTTAATATGTGTCTGATGATTGAAAGAAAATTTCAATTCCAAAGAAGTTCCATACTTTATTTTTTAAAGTTACCACCACATAATTACACACAAAAAACACGATTCCACCCCCATTATATTCATTTGCATCCAAGAACCAAAAAAGGGAGGGGAGAGTAGGGGGGAGAGAGTCCATAAATTCTCTTTACATGAATCTTGAATCCTCGAATTTTCAGAGCACATCAATTTATTCCTGATAGGCACAACCTTCAAATTCTCCCATCCCCTTAGTTCACCGGATCTCTCATTTTACTGATGAGAAAACAAGCTGACCCTAGAAGGATTAAGAGATTTTGCCCAGAGTTACACAGCTAGTAATGGTCTGAAGTTGGATTTGAATCGAAGTATTCCTGACTCCAAAATTCCAGGGCCCACTGTGGTAATGCCTTGTTTGTATCTGTATTCCAGTACAGTGCTTCCTGATACAAATGGGACACTTAATATATGCTTTTTGATTGGTCACAGAATTCTGAAAACATAGAATATTTGGAATCATAAAGCATGACCCTCTCTAAAAAGTTCCTTTCCACTCCGACCAACTGCCCCAGCCTCCGCCTTCTACTTCAATCCTACTATCAGTTCCAGGGTCCCTTTAATAAATATAAGATCATAGGTTAAGAGATGGAAGGAACCACAAGGCTCGCATAGTTCAAATCTGCATATTCTTAGACACACACACGCACGCACGCACTTCACACATGAGGAAACCAAGTCTCAAAGAAGAAAGGTGGCCTGCTGCAGCTCACAGGTAGTGGAGACAGAGACAGGGCTCAAACTCTTGTATCCTTTCAGAGTCGGGCTCCTCACTGCCGTTCTCCAGCCTCCACCCTTTCCCCTACTAATCATTCCTCCTCACCACCCCGGCTGTTCCCAGGCCTCGACTCACCCCCCTTCACAAGGGCCACGAACCCCTCCCACAGGGCCACAGCCCCCACCTTTGGAAGGGCCACACACCACTCAGGAGTCACCCCCTCCCCACCCTCAGGGCCATATCCCCCCTACTCCATCAGGAGGGCCTCACACCCCCCGGAAGGTGTCGCGCCCTCACTTCGGCAGGGCCACCCTCCACCGCCATCTGCAAGGCCACAGCCCTCTACACTGGGGCGCTCGACACCCCTTCCCCACCCCCCACCCCACCCCTCTAGTCGTCTTAGTCCTCAGGCCTCCCTCACCAAATCTGGCCGGTCTTCTCCACCTTCCTCTCCGCTAAGGAGCCTCCCAGCCCTAGATCTTCGCGTCAGCCCACCAATGGGCAGACGCCCGAGGGCGGTGAGGGACTCCCTCCCCGGGAGGCTGCGGGGCTGGCTATGGGCTGCGGTTGCCAGGTTGCGCTGTGTTTGAACCCAGAGCCGGGGGCGGGGACGAGGGCGGGGGCGGGGGCGGGGGCGGAGGCTCTTGGAGCAGCGACTCGGGCTCCAGGGTAACGGAGGCGGAGGCCCAGACTGCACTGCGGTACAGCCCCGGCCAATGGCGCCGCTTCTCTGACTCCCATTGGGTGGTACTAGAGGTCTGTCCTTCTTATTGGCTAAGACCGTAGCGGATGCTGCGGAGGGGGTGGGACTATTGCGAGTGAGGGTCTGGCATTGGCTGGCTGCCCCTCACGGGATCCTGTGTCGAGAATGTTGACCAGGCTCTATCGTATTCTCGCTTCAGTGGGCCTCGAGTGTGTGTTTTTGAATGTCCCTGTCTTAGAAATCCCCCTCTCGAATTCCTGGGGTTTGAGGGGGTTTCGGGAAAAGGGGCAACCCAGGGAGAAGGGGGAGGAGGAGGAGGAGGAAAGGAAGCAGGCGCGAGGAAGGCCGTTGGGAGGAAAATTGGTGGGATCTGGGAGCAAAAAAACTGGCAAAGTCGGTGGTACTAGAAACGGGGATGGATGGCACCTTGCACTTCTGCCCTTCAGAATGATTCCTTTGTCCTGGGGTCAGACTTTTCAGTGTTGGAAGAAATTCAACGCTTCCAGGGGTCTTCTTGGAATAGGCTGAAAAGCATAAATGAAAAGTCTTAGAAAAACGTCATCGATGTTATATTTATTTTGCAGGGTTTTTTGTTTTTGCGTCATGAGACCACTTTGGCAGTCTGGTGAAGCCTTTGTTTTCCCCTGGAGTGTTTTTAAATGCATGAAATAAAATGCATAGAATCATTTATTTGGAAAAAAACATTTTTTCCTAATTTAACAGACCGCAGGTTAGATACTAGAAACATATTTAAAATAAGTTTTTAAGTTCCCTTCTCATCTCTGCTTCCTGGCCTTCTAGTTACAGCTAAAATCCCACCTTCTATGAGAAACCTTTCCTGACCCCTCTTGATTCTAGAGCCTTGTTGATGATACACAGTTTTTCCTGTTCTTATAAGCTGTAGCTTGTATGTAAGTCTGCATCTTGTCTCCCCAGTTCTACTAAGCTCCTTGAGAGCAAGGACCATCATATCTTTATATCCTCAACATCTTGCACAATTCCTAGCATATAGAAGTCTAGTAATTTATTGACTGATTTTAAATAGGTTTTCAGGAAATTAAGTTCCAAAAGAGGAATGCTATGTATGTTATTTATATGCTGTACTTAAGTAATCTGAGTATGTAACGTTTGTAAATAGGATCCAATTCAACAAACAATTATTAAGCACCTTTTGCTAGCTTCTGGGACCACAAAAAGAAACGAAAAAACCTTAGAAGTCTTTGCTTCTGGCTTTCTCGTTTTCATGCCTCTGACTTGACAGTTTCAGAGTATTTTTTTTTTGAAAGGGGAGAAGGTTAAATTCTCCTATTCTTCACTGTTATTGTATGTTTACTAGAGATAGATTTTTGAAGAAATTCAGTTTACCATATAAGTGATAAGGTTTGAAATTCACTTCTAGCATAGAATAAGTGCTTAATGCTTTTTTTATTTTTCAGAGAACTGCATTTAAGAGAACTGTGGTTAAATGCCTTCTCATCTAGCTCTTCTAATATGTGAAATAAGGTAATTTTGTTTTTTGACTGAACCAAGCCTTGCTATACAAGAAAAGGTATTAATTTATGCAAGTCACTATATTTTTACATGCTGTTAAAGATGCCCACCAATACTGAGATGTCTGAATGTACTTTGTTACATGAGAAGTATTGCATGAGAAGCTATCTAATATGACATTGGAAGTAAGATGAATCCCAAAAATGAAACAAATAATGAAATGAACACCAGTCTATTAAATCTTTGTTTTCTGTAAGTGCACTGTGTAGTACAAAGACCATTAATGTTGCCTAAAAGAGAAAAAGTCTGCATAATTTGATTTTTTAAAAATTTGAGTTGAATCGTTAGGTTGGATATTGTTAATCATTTGGAAATAAATGGAAAAATACCTGAAATATTTTACTTAAATATGAAAAGCGTCACTAGGTATAGCTAAATTTAATTTATGGAGAGAAAAGGACAGAAGACGGAGAAGTAATATTTACAGACTAAGACAACTGAGCTTATTACTGATAATCTTTTTCTTCATCCAAATTTATATGAAATTGCTAAAAAGTAGAACAATTGAGGTATGACACCTTTTCTTGCTGATCTGGTAGAGTTGCTGATGTAGGATGGGTAAAATAATTAAAAAATGGGTGATCCCAAAGATCAATAAGAATTACAAAGCAGTTGACAACAATGGGCAGTTGAGTTCACACTACTATATAATCAGTGTGTTAATATAAATTTTAACTAAAAAGGTAAAAAAAAAATGTTTGGGAACCTATACATAAATAAGGGATTGATGATTAAAGAAATGCAAATTAAAACACATCTTATACCTATTAGATTGGCTAAAATAATAGAAGGGAAAAGTGATAAATGTTAGAGTGGATGTGGAAAAATTGGAACACTGATTCACTGTTGGTGGAACTGTGAACTGATCAAACCATTTTGAAGAACAATCTGGAATTCTGTCCAAAGAGTTATAGAACTGTATACCATTTGACCCAGCAATACCACTAATAGATGTTTCCCAAGATGATTAGGGAAAAAGGAAAAGAACCTGCATGTTCTAAAATATTTATAGTAGATCTCTTTGTGGTGGCAAAGAACTAGAAATTGTGGAGATGCCCATCAATTGGGGAATGACTGAACAGCTAGCTGTGGTATATGATTGTGATGTGATACATACTGTGCTATAAGAAATAATGAGCCCAATGATTTTAGAAAAACATGGAAAGACTCAGTAATAACATTATTGTTTTAAGAACAACTTTGAATAACTAAGTTATTTTGAGTATTATAAATACTCAAATCAACTACAAAGGATTTTTGAAGAAAGATGCTATCCACATCCAGAGAAAGAACTAAAAGAAGTATATATACTATGGTTTTGCATATATATGTATACAGACTTATTTCTAACGGTAGCCTTCTCTAGAGTGAGATGAGAAGGGAGGAAGGAAAAGAAAGTGCACAGCAGAGAACAAAAGAAAACGTAGAAGGAAGCACAGAAAAGCAGGGTAGCTTTGAAAATGATGTAGCATTTATTACATAATTTTTCAAAAAAAGTAAACAGTGTGAAATGGAAATTCATGATTTTATATTGAATCTTTTTATGTTGTGCTGTGTACATGGAAATATTCTTTTTCTGTCTTTTTGTATTTAAGTTCAAAATGAAAAAAATTAATTTAAAAATAATAAATAAGTGATTCAATTGGTAAAAATAAAGCAGGAAAAAATGAGCAAAAAAACAAACAAACAAACAAAAAAGAGAACCTAACCATAAAAATTACTAGGGTGAGAGGGAAGATTGAGATACAAACTCAGAAGAAGACAATGTCAAAACAGCTACAGGCAAAGCCTCAAGGAAAAATGTGAATTGGACATAAGCCCAACAAGAATTCCTGGGAGAGCTAAAAATTATTTTTAAAATCAAATAAGAATGGTAGAAGAAAAAGTGGCAGAAGAAATGAGAGTATGCAAGAAAGTAAAAGTCAATTAACAGCTTGATAAAAGAGGAACAAAAAAATTGAAGAAAATAACATCTTAAAAAACAGAATTGGCCAAATGGGGAAAAAAAAGGTTAAAAAAAAACCATAGTGAAGAAAACAATTCCTTAAAAATTAGAATTAGGCAAGTGAAAACTCATGATTCCATTAGCTATCAAGAAACAATAAAACACAATCAAAGGAATGGAAAAAAAGAAAAGAAAATTTGAAATATCTCATCAGAAAAACAACTGACCTGGTAAATAGATCAAGATAATTTAAGAATTATTGGACTACCTAAAATGATCAAAGAGAGAGCCTCTTAGATATCACATTTCAAGAAATTATAAAGAAAAACCTCTCCAGTATCCTAGAAGCAGAGAGTAGAGAAGCAAAGAATCATTACTGATGACCTCTGGAAAGAGATCCCCAAACGAAAAATCCCAGGAATATTATAGCCAAATTTCAGAGTTCCCAGGTCAAAGAGAAAATACTCCAAGCATCCAGAAAGAAACAATTCAAATATAATGGAGCCACAGTCAAAATCACACAGGACTTAGCAGCTACCATGTTAAAGAATGGGAGGCCTTGGAATATTATATTCCAGAAGGCAAAGGAATGAGGATTGCAACCAAGCATAACCTAGCAGGTGAAGCTGAGTACAATCCTTCATGGGGGAAAAATAGATACTCAATGAAATAGAGGAATTTCAAGCATTCCATATGAAAGATCAGCGGTAAATAAAATATTTGATTTTAAAGATAAGACTTAAGAGCAGCATAAAAAAGAAAACATGAAGAGAAATCATAAGGGATTCAATAAGGTTAAACTGTTTACATTTCTATATAGGAATATGATATATGTAACTCCTAAGAACTTTATCATTATTAAGGCAGTTGAAAGGACTTTACATAGACAAAGGACATGGGAATGAGTTGATTGTGTTTGGATAATGTAAAAAAATGGAATGGGTGAGAAAGAGGTATGCACTAGGAAAAGGGGGAAAGGAGAGGAAAAATGAGAATTATTTCACATAAAAGAGGTGTACAAAGAAGAGATTTTACAAGGAAAGAGAAAATAGTGAGGTGGTAGGCAATGTGTGACCTTCACTGTCATCTGAATTGGTTCAAAGAGGAAAGAATATACATACACACTAAACTGAGTACAGAAGTCTGTCTTACCTAACAGAGATGTAGAAAGGAAAGAACATAAGAGAAAGGGAAGAGGAGTGATAAAAGAGAGGGAGGATAAAGGCAGGCAGTAAGAAGTAAAACAGATTTTAGAGGAGGGGCAGGATAAAAAGAAAGAAGGATAAAGAAAAGAAAATAGGATGGAGGGAAATGCACAGTTAGTAATCATTACTGTGAAATTAATAGGAAGAATTTATCCATAAAATGGAAGCAGATAGTAGAATGGATTAGAAATGAAAATTGAACAATATGCTGTTTGCAAGAAACACACTTGAAACAGAGACACGCACAGTTAAGATAAGGAGCTGGGTCAGAAACTTCTGTTTCAGCTGAAGTTAAAAAGACAAGGGTTAGCAATCAACATCGCAGACAAAGCAGAAACAAAAGGTACATAGACAATGAAGTAATATCAATATGAACCAAATGATGTAGTTTTTTCAGTTTTATTCAACTCTTCATTTGAGGTTTTCTTGGCAAAGATACTGAAATGGTTTGCCATTTCCTTCTCCAGCTCATTTTATAGATGAGGAAACTGAGGCAAACAGGATTGAGTTACTTGCCCAGGGTCACACAGATAGTAAGTATGTGAGGCCAGATTTGAACTCAGGAAGATGAGTCTTCTTGCCTCCAGGCCAGCACGCTACCCACTGTGCCACCTAAGTTGCCCCTAAATGGCATAGTTAAATGGGTCAAAGGAGGAAATAGACCAGGCA